TATTTTTACTTTCTCACTTTCTTTATTTTTTCTTTCTAAATCGTTAAACAGCTTTTGGAGATCAGCTTTTCTATCTTTGTTTTTGGTCTTCTTTAATTGTTTTTTAACAGTAACAAATTCTTTTTTTCTCATATCTTCAATGAAGGAATAAGATTTTTCAAACATAGTTTCATTGTATTTTCCAGACAAGTCATCAAATCGTGGATCTCTAAACAATCGCTTTGGTTGGTTTGTTAACCTTCTTTTTGCAAAGTTACGAATCTTTGAAGATTTCTCTTCAGGAGCACTTTTCTGTTTTGCTACAGTCAAATTTATATTTGATATTTGCTGCTTCTTGTAATTTTCTGAACCTTTTGATTGGGTCCCAAAAACAACTTCATTATATCTTTTAAGACCACATTTTTCACGCAACTTTTGAATTTCCCCAAGAGGAATGTCAGCCATTTCCTTGCGTAGCATTTCACTTTCATCTTCGCTATCAGAAGAACTCTGATTATCTTCAGATTCATTAGATGATTCAGAGCTACTCTCTTGATTTCCTTCTTCTTTTTTCATTTTTTTTTTAACTTCAAATGTAAAAATCACAAAACAAAAGAAAAATCTTCAATTTAAAAAACAAAAGGTGAAAAAAGAAACAACAACAAAAAAAAGCTAACTTAAAACTGTAGCTTTTATTCAATTAATGAGCCTTTTGATACTAATTACTGCAACTAACATAGAAACTAACTAAAATGAAGCTAAGAACTCTCAATATAATTTATAAAAAAATTATTCATCAACATATAGTAGTTTGTTTATAATTTTTTTTAATTAATAACTATTTCAGCGAATTTTCAGTTTCTGTTTAAACCCTATCACTTTTTCATTTTCAGCGCTTGCTCTGTTAATTATTCTTCAAAACCCATTTCTTCTGATACAACAACTTCATTCTTTAAATTCCCTGAAACATAAATATATATATATAAATATATAAATATATATATATATATATAAATATATATATATACATACATATATATATATATACATATATATACATATATATATACATATATATACATATATATATATATATATATATATATATATATATATATATATATATATATATACATATATATACATATATATATATATATATATATATATATATATATATATATATATATATATATATATATATTATATATATATATATATATATATAATATATATATATATATATATATATATATATATATATATATATATATATATATATATATATATATCAACCTTCGGAATTAGGAAAAAGGAGGTCGACAATAATTTGCCCATGTCAATCTTTTAGAGGTCAGTATCAGGTTGGAAAAAATTATTTGATACAAGGGTCTGACTATAAATCATAGAAACAAGGTCGACAATATATTGCAGAATTCAAACACTTTCAGGTCGGCATTGCCGAATGCCGACCCTAATTCCGAGGGTTGTATGTATATATATATGTATATATATATTTTAATGACATCTTAATGGTATGATGAAATTTTTATATAAAATTGAAAATACATCATATACAGTGACATATTATTTATTTACCTATTTAAAATTTTTTAATTTAATTTTAAATGTGACATTTTGGCTCATATAGTTGGAGCCATTTTCAAACTAAAAGACGTTACAAAAAATTCGTTGTTTACAATAATGATGTCATTGCTGCGTAATATTATAAAAATTTTTCTTAAATTTAACAAAAAATGGTTTCCAATGGTAAGTCGTTACTAGGTTGCCATCATCTCGGCTTAGAATTTTATTTTTTAGATAGCAACATGATATAAATAAATAGATATAAAAATCATATTACTGTTAATAGTATGAATCAATCAAACAAACTTGTTAAAACTTCAATATTAAACTTATCAACTAAATCAATCACAGTTGAACAAGAAAAATTATTAAATTTGGGTCCAAAATTTATTCCAACGCAAAGTAAAATTCCATTTATTGATATTGTAACATCAACAGAAGAATGTGCTCTTAAATTAGAGAAAAAAATTAATGTGGAAACAGGGGTAATGATTATTTGATTATAAAAACATTACTTTATAAGAGCATAGCTATAGACAATAATATTTAAAAAAAATTTAGCAGTTGAATTTTATGTAAGTTTATTAATTTATGAATTAATGATCTTTTAGTTTCAAAGTTGTTTTTTTAACAAAAAGAAATTGTTGGAATTGTTAATATTATGAGTTTTTTACTTAGTTTCTCTTAACCTTAAGACAGCTGTTGCATGCGCAACATGTAAAATATGGTCAGAAAAGTTATTATTTTTTATGACTGATGCAGGAATTAAACCACTTTTTAATAATAGTTCTGTTGACATTATGACTAGTTTTGAGTTTGCTTTGTGTAAAATATAAGTTTCATACTTTAAACGGACTTAATAAAAACCTTAACTTATATCAAACTTATAGAAATTTTAATGTTCTTTAACTAACAAGTTTCTTCTCCACATGTGTTTAACATAACTATACCAAGATTTAACTTAGTAGACTTTCTGATCTTAAATAATATTTAAAAAACAATAAACGTAAATCATTATTTCCTAGCCCAAAATTCAAGTTTAATGATGAACAAGATTTCCTTTAATGTTTTGGACTGTAGTGAAAAAAAAAGGCTGTTTTAGAAGGATCAAATGACTGCCCAAAAATGCTAAAAAAAATACACTATGCTTCAAAGTCTTTACCATCATCATCAGTTGAAGCAAAAAGATGCTTTAGTGCTGCTGGACTTTTTATCACTAAACTGAGAACATCATTGAGTGATAAAAAGATCGACACATGTTTTTTGCTTAAGAAAATATAACTAAACTTTTAAAATTTTCAAATTCAAAAGTTTTTTCGTTTGGTTATACCTATATAGTACTATAACACAAAAATGTATGTAAAATTTATGTTTTGAAAATAACTAAAATTACTTAAAATTGCTTAAGTTACCTAAGTAAATTTTGTAAAAATTGCTTAAAATTACTTTTTAGTAATTTTTTCTCATCACTTGAACACCTCCTAGTTATGTGTAAAGTTTTAAAAAATAAAAATTATTAGATTTTAAAACTTAATAAAATATAGTTAATATAATTTCTATATTTTGCGCTATAATTTCAAGTAAAATAGCGTTAGAACAACAGATATTTGAAAAGTAATTTTTACTAACTTTTAAATGAATTAATTCTTGAATAAATTTGAGAAAAAATGAAAAAATGAGTTGAAAAAAAAAAGAGAGAATGATTTAAAAAAAACAACAAAAAAACTTGTTAAACATGAAAAAAGTAATTACAATAAATAAACTATGAAATTCTAATGAACGAATATAATAACTTGTTTTTTACGCAAGAATTACTCGCCCTTGTTTTTAAAAAATGACTTAATAAAAGAAACAAAATTCAATTCCAACCAGAGGCAGCATCCCTATACCCTATAATTTATATAAAAATAAAGAAAGTTTTATTACATATATTTATTTTTGCATACCAAAACTTTAAGAGAATTAGGTCAGCAGCTGTATGTCATCATAAAGCAAAGATAGATTCTCTTTTGCATCGGAATTGTTAAATGCTGACATGAATATCGCATGCTGTATATATATATATATGGGCAATTATGCGAAAAAGAGTTACAAAAAATAAAATTAAAAGTTATAAAGGCACATACTAACCACAATAAACGCTTTTTTTAACTATTTAAAAATACTTTTGAAAAAAAAAGTTATTAAAAAAATCATTTTATCATAACTTAGTATGGCTTTAAATCTGCAAGGCTTACATAAATGTTTTTTGATGTTTATATTTAGTCTTGTTGCTTTAAAAAAGGTTTTCATGCTGTGCTTTTTAAATAACTATTACTTTAAAGTTTAAATTAAAGACAAAATTAAACATTATGCAGAATTTTATTTACAAAATTGTACTCCAACTAGGTTTAAAAAAAATATATACTTATCAAATTGATGTATTACAACCGTCACAAAAAAAAGTAAAAAAGGTTTTTATCTAGACTTTGTATCAGCCTTAATGAAACTACAAATATAGTAAAAGTAAAGATACTGATATAAGTTTTACCATAATTTCAATATTTAAAAAAAAAGTGATTTAGATCACCTTATAACAAAGTACGCTACAACCATCACAATATGTTTATTTTTCCATAATGGCTTCTTGACTTAAGTAGAAAAAGTTTAAGCGCAAACGATTTTATTATTGAAACCAAGTTAACAACCAATTTCGTTTATTGTTTTATTTGCAGTTTGTTTACTAATTATATTGTTAAGCTTATTAGAGCACTTCTTTCTTTATTAAAATATTTATTCCATTTATTTCAAATATTTGATGTGAAGAATTTATTATTTGTTAAGAAATAAAAACTTTTAACTAGGAGGCAATTTTGTTTCGATTAAATTGTGTTTATAGTTTGCACTGCAACATTTTTGATCATTCAAATTTGCAGTTTTTTTATTAATAACATTTTGCAGTTTTATTTACACCCTAACTGAACATAAATCACAAACAGAAGCTGCAATATTTAATAACATCTATTAAATGTCTAAATCAGATGCAGAAAGATCAAAAGCTAATAAAGCAAGAAACAGAAAAGAATTGACAAAAAAATAAAAAAAGCTAAGTTATCAATAGAGAAAAAAAAAATCATGCAATTTATTATCAACTACAATAAGAGAAATAAAACAAAAATCAATTCTTAAAAGTTTATTTTTTAAGCTATGTTGGGAACAGGAAGCATTAAGGGTATTAACCATTAAAAAATTTAGAAAAGTAATAATTTATAAATAAATATAGAAGCCAACCTTTGGTTGCATATTCCAAACTAAACAGACCCAGTACCAAAAAACCATAATTGAGAATTTTGATAATGTTATAAAGTGCATTTTTTTAAACATAATTTATGTGGTTTTTATAATCATTTATTTTTCTTTTTTTAGTGATTGATTGCATTGTTTTATTTGGTATTTTAATACAAGATTTTTTGTTATGACCGTCACAACAATAAAAAAGTAAAAATACTTGTAAAACTTCAACTAAAAACTATGAAACTTAGCATATAATAAAATCAAAATGTGCTAAATACACACAAACAATGATTTTATTTTTAATATGCATTAAATTTAACTTAATGCAGCGAACAGAGACATAAAGTTTTGTCCAGAAGTGATAAAAAGTAAATGTTATGACCACCATGCTACGCTGAGTCAATTTTTAAAAAAAAGTTTAAAACTTTAATGCTGTAACTTTTGCATACTAAATCATGATAGTATTTCACATTTCCAGAAATGAATATGTAATATTTATCTTTAATATGGGAATATCCAAATATATATAGATATACATTTTTGACAATTGCTTGGGCTGCAAGGCAATTGCTTGGACTGTTAAATAATATACTGAGTACTATCTGTGCTTTGAGTCAAGTTCTTTAACACATTTAAAAAATGACTAAAGTATCAAAAACTATAAAACACAAAAAACATTTGTCACCACCAAGTTCTCTAAATCTATCATTCACTAATATTTGTGGTCTTTGAAGAAATTTTTCTTAAGTTGAGTCTTATCTCTTGCAAATTTCAACAGACCAAATTGCTCTTTGTGAGACTCTCACAAAGAGCAATGTTGGTCTGTTGAACTTTGCAAGAGATAAGACTCAACTTAAAGAAAAATTTGACTAAAAATTAAATAAAGGTAACACTCTCATCTTGCGATCTTAGTGTCACCTTCTTTTAATTTTTAAAGACTCCAACAGTCACATGCAATTTTATTTTTAAAAACTCACTCATTTGACAGGAAACTAGGTTTGAGTCTACAGAATATTTCTTTATGTGTTTTTGTTTAGCACAACTTCATTCTATCACTTTTCTCTTTGTTCTATTTGCTCTCCTTTATTTCAAGAATGCACT